TTGCTTGACGCAATGGGATAGTGTTTCTTGATCAGCAAGGTAGCGAGCTAATTGTTGATCTCCAACGACTTTCAAATCAATGGGAATTACAGTGAGTCTTTTACCACTACTACCACCAACACTGTCGTTAGTGGCATCGGTGGTATATCCACTAAGGCTACCATTGCTCATACTTGTGCCCGTTTTTGCAGTTGTAGAAGTTCTTGATCTCGTGGGTGTTTCAGAAAAGATTGACGAAATAACAAACCACATACGAGTATTGTCACTGTTGAGATCACGTCCATAATAATCAACATAGTACTTGCAGATAGTTTCAAATACTTCTGTTAACGTATGGCATCGTGAGAAAGAAAAACGGAGTGGTTTAGCAGCTAATTTTTGCGTCGAGATTTCCAAATAATCCGAACTACTGCTGACCGTAGTATCAGTCAGCAAACCCAATGAAGAAGCGGATCTTCTCCTTTGACCAGTTGTAGAATCCGCAGACATCGGAGACTTGAGCCTCGGGCTGCCTTGAAGGTAATTAAAGTAACAAAAGGTTATCTAAGCAGAATGTTGATTGGTTTTATCTAAAAATTTACAATTACCCGCATCCGGGCTATTCCTTTCACCACCACCACCACCACTGACATAGCGTCTCTTTTGATTGGTTTGTTTCACTCCTTTCGATTAGAATCCTCGTAAGTTATTTGTTTAAAAGAGCGAAATGGATCCACATAGCATATAACATTACTTACCCAACGATAAAATTTCACGGAAGCGCTTATTTTTTGGTGGCTCAATATTTGTGATAAGTCCTTCATTGGCTGGGTACTTAATTTTTACACCTGTAGCTGCACGAACGCGTATTTCTAAGGAGTGAATTTCAAGAATCTCTTCACAAGTTCCGCGACTATTGAGTACGTAGCCAATTAGATAACTTGGCATGGGTAGACGTTCACTGGTGACGAATACTTCACCGGCATTGCCTTGCTTCCACTGTTGTATTCGTTCAGCCAAACGTCTATCCATAGCTATAAATGGTCCACCTTCAGTCATCCAATCTTTATCTGCCTAAAATGAACACTAAATACTATAGCTAATACGCGAAGGCTTTCATTCCGAAAATGCGGAGCACTAACTTCTGCTTCCTTTCTTGGAATTAAAGAAGTGTGAGGAGAGGTAGAAGTTGGAGAAATGCTAGAAACTCCCGATTTTTGAAATCGCTGATTTATAGATCTACTCAGCTCTCTCTCTGCCTTGGATTCCTGACGTCTGGCACGGCTCTCTGAAATCCATTGGCCAATTTTCCCATATTTTATTGAATTCTCTCGAGTAGATTCATCCATCATATTCTCACTGATGCTTCTAATTCTGCCTCGTGTTTTACGTTCAAGTGGCTTAGATCTTGGAGGTGCGGCTGTAAAAATTCCATCGAACAGGGAAACCGGATGATTGGCACAGTATTTACCATGAAGTTCCGAGGGCTTCAGTTCCTGAAAAAAGCAGAAGTTGTGAATTAACCAAAGCTACTATTAACACGATCGAAAACTAATTATAATTAAAAACATAAAAGCACCCAGCTTCAAATGTATTTGGGGATGAGAACAGTTTGACTAAATTAAAATTGTGAATGGAACCTACCACCCCCACTTAGTTTTGGGTTGCCTAAGATAGTGATTGCCTAGCGTGTCTAAGAGGACATAAATCGCTCATCGACATACTGTTCGTTTTTGCCGAATACAGGTAGGCCTTCAAGTTTTACTGTTGCCGAAAAAGAGGGAAGGCGGAAGAGATAGTTCTTGAAAACTAAAGACACCTCAGGAGCTTCAGTTACAATTTGCAACTCTTTTATTAATACCTTGAGAAAGTGTGGGAAGTTAATGCATATTGAAAAATTGTTTTTATCATCATTTTACTAGATCGTTTAACCCGTATAAGCATAGAAAACACCTGAACGCTTTAATTGAGTTGCTTCCGTTCGGTGAAATACTCTCACCTAAATAAATCAAAACAAGAGTTTTTCTTTCTTTACGCCTTCACTCACTAAAAACTTTTAAACTCCGTATTTTTTATTGAATCTAAATGATATTGTCATATTTTTCAGTGTATTGGATTTAGAAATCCGTACTTGACAACTTTGAGTCATGTAGGAATTTATTAAAACCAGTAAAAGTTAAAGAAATGGCTAATAATGGACAAAATCGACGTGTTTGAGCTCCAATTTATCATCAAGACAGGGGTGTGCGATAGACTTACCTCCACGTGGTGCACCCTGGGCAACGTATACTCATGCGGCAAAAAGTCCATTAATCGGCAGTTGACTTCTTACTTCAACCTACCATCACCCCACTGTATGTCATATTCGATTACTTCCATAGTACTCATCTCATCTTTTTTCTAACTTTGCGTCTGTCTCTTTTACATCTTTGAAACACTCTTCTGTTCCCCCCCTTCCACCCTCTCTCGACTTTATTTCACTTTGATGTTCCTTCCCCTCTGTGAAGCCTGAAGTCAGTTAAAGGGCTAATGATAACTATCAGAACGCCTGTCATTTGATATAAATAAATATCATCAAGACAGGTTTGGTCATGCAATATGACTTATGG